CGCCGCGCCCCCGCCGCCGCCGCCGCGGCGGCTCTATTTATGCCGAGGGGACAGATTCTCTCTCCCCAGAGACCTACTCTAGCAGCTCCTTGAGGGAGTTCAAGTGGAATAACCTTTCCCCCCACCCCTTTCCCCCGCCCCCTCCCCCCAAGATCGCCTTCTTCACCCTCCTCCCAGGTCTGGGGGCGCCGTCGGTCCTCTCGTCTTGGGTGCGCGGCCGCCTCCTGGGGTGAAGGTGGCTCTTGGATAGCGAGTGAGGGCTTCGGGGGCGGTGGGGAGGGGGCGGGAGAATGAGCTCCCCCGGCGCCGAGAGCGGGGGGAAGAGCCTGCAGTACCGAGTGGACCACCTGCTGAGCGCCGTGGAGAGCGAGCTGCAGGCGGGCAGCGAGAAGGGCGACCCCACGGAGCGCGAGCTGCGCGTGGGCCTGGAGGAGAGCGAGCTGTGGCTGCGCTTCAAGGAGCTCACCAACGAGATGATTGTCACCAAGAACGGCAGGTAGGCGCGCGGCCGGGTCTGGGGCACGCGCCACGCACTCGGGCGGGCCGGGCGCCGGCTGCAGAGGTCCGCACTGTGCCACACTTTCTCCGGGTGGAAGTTTTTTGCTCATTTCCGCTCAGGCTGGAAACAGACCCTTGTGGCCTCTAATTACTCCTCTGGGGCCTCTTGGTGTAATCTTCACTCATCTGGGGAGGAGGACTCCTGGGGGAGTCTCCCGACCCGCGCCTGCCCGGCCGGCTTGGCCTGGGTGCTGCCACCCTCTGCCGGGTCCTCTCCCGCCGGCCTCCAGAGGCCGTGGGATAGCGCAGAGGACGCTTGTGGATCTAGGAGGGTCCTGGGAAGCGGGGAACTCCGGAGTCTCTTTTAAGTTCCCGAGGGGACTCCTCACTGCTCCAACTGACACGCCTCCGCCTTGGGTCTAATGGGTCAGATCCGGGTCCTCCTGCTGAGCGCCTCCCTTTCCAGGAGGATGTTCCCCGTGCTGAAGGTGAACGTGTCCGGCCTGGACCCCAACGCCATGTACTCCTTCCTGCTGGACTTCGTGGCTGCTGACAACCACCGCTGGAAGTACGTGAACGGCGAGTGGGTGCCAGGGGGCAAGCCCGAGCCGCAGGCGCCCAGCTGCGTCTACATCCACCCCGACTCGCCCAACTTCGGGGCGCACTGGATGAAGGCGCCGGTCTCCTTCAGCAAAGTCAAGCTCACCAACAAGCTCAACGGAGGAGGCCAGGTAGGTGTGATGGGGTGGGGGCGGGAGAGGGGTGGGGGTAGGGGACGGCGCGAGGACACCACGACTCCGCACCTTCTTGCGGTGGAGCCTTGGCAGGGCGCTGCCTGCATGGAGGTGACATCTGCCTTCCTCAATTAAGCCTTTGGTGTTGTTTATAGTAACCTGACGACAGTAACACCAAGGCCTGGAGAGCGGGGGGGGGGGGGCGCCAAGCCTCCCCTTTGAGCACTCAAGCAGGTCTTAAACTTCGGGGTCACTTTTGCGTCCTAGTCCTCAGCGTTCCTAACGGCAGAGAACACCTCAGCCTTGACGGTCAAGCGTCATTTGAGAGCCGGATATGCCCACCGTGTAGTATCTCCAGCTTGAAGTTTGAACGCACGTGTAAATATGTCCTTTTCCACAGAAAGGTCTTTAGTTTTGGATTGAGGATCATTTCTGGGAGACCTCGTGTTCCCGAAAGCCAGGCTCGCGCGCTGGTGTTTAAAGGTGCCTTTAGCTGCCCTGGAAGCCTTGGTCAAAGCATTTCTCCATGAGCATTCGCTGCTTTTAACGGCATGTAGCATCTCACATCCTTTTGCAAACTAGTCGTGGGAGCAGCATTTGATGGGAAACCTGCCAACTTCAGCAGTGAAGACATTTTCCTGCGAGCTGAGAGATCTTTTGCACCTTGAATGTATTTTTCTCCTCAACAGCAGGGCAAATGGGTGTTTGGTTGTCTTCACGGTGGGACTGTGATGACCACCATTGCCGGTTTGTGTCTCTGTCAGATCATGTTGAATTCCTTACACAAGTATGAGCCCCGAATCCACATAGTGAGAGTTGGGGGTCCGCAGCGCATGATCACCAGCCACTGCTTCCCGGAGACGCAGTTCATAGCTGTGACGGCTTACCAGAACGAGGAGGTGAGCGGCGTTCCTGTGTCGTGTAGCTTTCTTGTGTTGCGGGTGCCGAGTCCCGGAGATTCGCGCGAATACAGAGACTGTGTCTTTTGTGGGATCATTGGTGTCTTTTCAAGTAATTTATCGTAACCACAAAATTGGGACTGAAGGGAGAAAAGCTTTAAAATGAGTCATTATTAAAGCAATTTCCCCCTTTAATTTTCCACAAAAGTATATAAAACTAGAAGCGCCCACTAAAATGCTCAAAATGAAAAGATGAGTAAAAACATTGAGATGAAGTACTGTGAGGGCTTCTTGAGAACAAAACTTCAGGAAAAGGCATCTCTCACTTTGGGAATCTTCCTGAAAGGGCCGGGGGCACCCCTCCAAATCCACGCAGTGTGAAGAATCAACCAGATGCAGAATACAGGTTCGTGCCTGTAAAGCTATGTCCAAGTCGGACCCCAAAGTACAGTCTGTGATTAGCTGGCTAAGTTGTCCGTGTTGATCACCAACTAGGACTCGCCTTCACTATTGCCAAGCAGCCCTAGGTTATGTTTTGAGCCATATTTGTTTGATGTATGCACACAGAATATTGTCAGCAGTAGGTTAAGCTTATTGTAAATTACACTCGGAAAATTAGCATTTAAAAACTTTTTATAAATGTGCTGTTCTTTATAAGATATTGTGATTACTCAGCTACTTCAGATCCAAATAGAAACACATACTTGGAAAGAAGTCTGATTATATTTGGATATTTAGAGGGGTTACTGGTGGTTCCCAATTTCTTGGTGCCAAATAAAATCCTCTGACCATATAGAAATGTGCTAGTAAACTCAACTTCTTGTTTTTCAGATCACAGCTCTTAAAATTAAATACAATCCATTTGCAAAAGCTTTCCTTGATGCAAAGGAAAGGTGAGAGAATTCTAACTATATACTCTTTAGGCCAAGAAGTATGCAGAAAAATGAAATATTACTGCCGTGCTATTTTCTAGACGCTCTCCTTCTTGACAATTCAATCCACTTTTTTGACAGAAGTGATCACAAAGATATGATGGAAGAACCCGGAGACAGCCAGCAATCTGGGTACTCCCAATGTACGGTTTGTTGCACTCTGTCTACCCAGACACACCTTGTTTTGGGGACTAGACTGCTGGGAGCTGGGAGCTTGGAGCTGGGGACGGAGCAGGGAGTTTCTGGGTGTGGCGGGAGCACTTTGCCCTTTGCCATGCAAGCCATATGTGTTGGCTGTTGGCTGTGTTTCTACTGGTCTTCAACCTACTGGTTCTCAGCCTCTGCCCCACCTGGGGTCGTGGAGCCCATGGGGCTCCTGACAGAGAAGTCTGGGGAGAATTTTCCTGGGCTCTTTTGCTTTTCTTCGAGGCTGCTCCGACCATGGCTGGGACGGATCACTGAGTCCTTGGCGGGTGTTTAGACTCTGCTGTGTTGAGCAAGAAGGGAGTGCAGCCCTTATGTCCACTTTGAGATGGCTTCTCTTTTTGTTAGTGATTGAAAACAGAAGGATCATCTTTGGAATGGTGCTTCTGACAGCGTGTGGTTTTCCCCTTAGCCTGCTTCTGATCCAAGGATGGCCTGTCAGCTCGTGCTGGAAACAGTGGCTATAGGATGGGAAAAGTCTGCTTAAACAAGTCTAGCTTCCTTAGGAGTTCTGTGAGCCAGAGCAAAGTGACGGAGGTCTACAGCAGAGTCTTTCAGGAGAAAAGGCTTTGTCTAGCCCTCCTCCACACTCAGGGAGGGACTCTGAGAGATAAATGATTGATAACTGTAGGGACGGAGAAGTGAGTGCTTGCTGTCACTTCAAGTCTGGATGAACCAGCATGGTGCCCTCCTAAGCAATCATTTCCTTTCCTTTTCCTTCCTTCCTCCCTCCCTTCTATCCTTCCTCCCTTCCATCCTTCCATCCTTCCTTCCTCCCCCCCTTCCATCCTCCCTTCCTTCCTTCCTTCCTTCCTTCCTTCCTTCCTTCCTTCCATTTTATGGACTAATTTGGCAAACAGTGCTCCTAAGTGGCTCGCGGGCTGCCATGTCAGAGAGCAGATTATGAACAACCTTTCTGGAGCGTGAGGGGCCCCGGCGTTGCGGCCCCGTCCCGCCCCGCCCTCCTTTATATGGTGCCTGAAGAACTGTGTGCAGTTCAGGCGCTGGAGCTGGAGTCCTTGTCCTCCTAGAGGTTGCTCTTCTGAATGAAAAAAGAAAATTTGAAGAAAAAAAAGAGTGGAGAAGAAAGTGGGTTTTGTACAGGAGGACAGGACTGTGCTGGAACAACTTTCTGACTGATGGACAAGGCAGGCGAGCGCAAGCCTGAGGCAGAAGAGGAGTGAGCAGAACGTGGGGCACCACCGGCCGGGACAAGCACTCCCGTGTGTGACGGGGTGGGGCTGGGGCTGGGGTGAAGTGGGGACACGGGGACTCAGCTGCCTGGTTCCCCTTGTGTGTCTTGAACATGTCTGTTTTTACATTTTACTGAAGCTCGGCAGTCAGGCCCTGAGAACTGACCTAATTATGGAGCAGAACATCCCGTAAGAGGCCAGGAGGAGGGGGGGAGAGTAGGATTTTTGAATAAGAGCAGCTGAGGAAGCCTCAGGCTTGGCTGAGGCTGGGTCTCCCGGGTTATCTCAGGGGCCGTGGGTTTGGAAACCTTGGCCAGCCTGGGGCCGCTAGTGTGGAGCTGACACCCATGCTGCCTGAAGACTCGGCTTGGGTGCTCGCTGGTCCGCGAATCCTAAGGAGAAGGCCCACAGCTCCCTGGCCTCGGGGCTCCTGCCCTTTCAGTAACGGAGGTGACGCAAACGCCAGTTACTCAGCACTCTTTTCTCACAGCAGGGGGGTGGCTGATTCCTGGAGCCAGCACCCTGTGTCCACCCGCCACCTCCCACCCTCAGTTCGGAGGCCCCCTCTCGCTTCCCTCCACGCACGGCTGTGAAACGTACCCGGCCCTGAGGAGCCACCGTCCATCCCCCTACCCCAGCCCTTACGCACATCGGAACAATTCTCCAAGTAAGTCCTGACTGGAAAGGAGTTTTGGGGTGGCCGGGACACTTCTGGGGAGGGAAAGGCAGCCTGCAGGGTCCCGGAGGCTGGATCTTTAGTGGCTCGGGAGGGACTTTGATTGCACGTCCTCATCACTGCTGGCTCGACCACAGAGACATCCAGACCACAGGGGCTTTTGGAGCTGAATGTGACTCAGTTATTACTCCCAGAATGGAGGCCCACGTCTAGGCGCCCAGGCTTGGGCATTTTATGAACCCCTCTAAAGCGACGTTGGGTCAGCCAGGTGCAGAGATCAATGGCTTGACTAGACACAGTATGTTTCCCAAGTATGGTTCCCAGGTCAGTAGCGTCAGCATCACCTGGAAACCACCCCGACTTAGTCGGAAGCACCAGGGGTGGGTCCAGCAGTTTGCGGTTTAAGAAGCCCCCTGACGCGTGCTTGAGCGCCATGAACACTGGACGAGCCCATGATAGTCGCTGCACCGCGCTCTCTCTAACGCCATCTATGCCTGGGCTTCATTTTGTCTGGCTCCAGAAGGAAGGAAAAAGCTAATGAACACCATAAAACAATTAAGCAATTAAAGCTGATTTGAGATGAAAGGAGTTTATTTGGTAAGGAAATAGCCATTCACCCAGAGGCTAGGAGAAACCATATTTTAAATTTTGCTCAGTTATGGTTTCTAAAGCCCTTTTAACTCTTCAGAAATAACCCCTTAGGGGAAAGGCAGGTTAAAGCTACATTCAACTTTATTTTTAAAGGTAATTAATCCCCACTCATGTGACTGTAGGATTCCATTTTTACAGGGCAGCCACTGAGCTAATGGTAAAGAAAAAGCCTGGGTTTACTGGAATGTATCTTCAAATGCACACATTTGACGCTAAACATTAGCCTCGATGACCAGTTAAGCAGGCTGGTGGGTTTGCTCTCTGTCTTCACTGTCACACACAGTGCTGCTGTCCATGTTGGGTAGCCCGTTACTGGTAGTGTTTGGCAGTATCTCAGTGGATTTTGTCGCTTGTGGAAGACTCCATGAGTAATGACACTTTATTACATCCGGTAGCCTATTCGGACAACTCATCTGCATGTTTATCCATGCTCCAATCCCATGACAACTGGTCCAGCCTTGGAGTGCCTGCCCACACCAGCATGCTCCCCATGAGTCCGAACGCCGGTCCTCCTACGGGCTCCAGGTAATGTGCAGCTGGGGATGGATGCAGACTGTCCTGGGATCTCTGGGTGCCTGTGACTTCACACCATCTCATTCACTGGCCTCCATTCTGCCCTTCACCTCACATCCTGAGTTTTTATTTACAATTTGACCACTAGTCAGAAATGACTGCGGATCCCAGGTGACATGACTGTTACGAGTTCCTGCTCCAGTCTTTTCTCTGGGAAGACGGGTGGCTCCCTCAGGGTGGATGGGAGCTGGGCTGTAACAGAAGGAAAGCAGGGACCCTATCCTGGCTCTGCTAACTACTAGCATGTGATGGATAAGTCTTTTAAACTCTCTGAGCCTCGTTTCTCCAAGAAAAAGGCATAAAATGACCCCAGCTTCAGCCCATCTGTACAGGGTTGTTGAGGTCAGTAGGAGAGAATTTTGAATAAATGTTTCCAGACCTTTTTTGACAGGCACTATTAAATTAAGGAAATAAATATGTTGGATTTCTGTGGAAAGAGAACCAAAGTTCTGAGCATGAATGCTGGGTAACCTGCAAAGAATGATGACTATTTTATTATTAACCTGAAAATTATGTACAGGAAGGTTGGTTTAAAAAATCAGGTCAGTCAGTAAGTGTGTTGCATCTCTTCGTAGGATTTCTATAATAAAAAACTAAAATAACAAACCTAGAGGTCAGTCCTCACTTTCAGGAGGACTGAAATCAGGAAACGGGCTCAAAGATATTAAATGAGTGAACAAGCTGGCCACGGTCGGTAGATAAGACATCTTGACCGTAAAAGCAATGCCGTTTCTATGTAGAGACCGTCAAAATTTGTCTGAGATCCTAATTCCTATGTCTAGGAAACAATTCCTTTAAAATAAGAATCTAATTGTTTACTCTTGAGAAAGTAAAACAATGTGCAACCAGCCAGCTTTCCAAGGGCCCTGAAGCCACTCGGAGCTGCTGTAAACGGGGTGGCCTGCGGTCACAGAGGGGCTCCCCCTGTGCGTTTCAGGGCGTCTTGTTTCTCTTCTTCTGTGAAGTGGGGAGAGCAGCCCCCTCACTGAACTCAGGCTTGTTTGTGAGTGTGAATGCATCTGAAGCGCAGGACGTGGCTTGCTAAAGAATATAGCCCACTGCTGCGCACGGCCTCCCTGCTCATTTATAGGAAGACCCTACTGTAAGAGAAAGAAACTTTCTGGAAACAAAATTTGAGCATAATGTAATGCTGTTCAGGTCCGTGTTCTTAAGACTGGAGGATTTAGTACCGGTTTCCAACTCCTTTCGTAGACTGGGGATCAGCCTCCACAGCGGTCGCGGACCAAGGGAAACGTGACACAGCTGTGAAGGGCAGAGCTGGGACTTACTTCCAGTCTGATCCCCAGGTGCCTGTCTTTCTGGGAGCGGTGCCCATACAGGAGTTGCTGGCCGGGACAGAATGCTCTCCATTGCTCAGTGTTTTATTTTTATTTAATTAAAAAACTTTTCCTTTGAAGGCACCTTTAAAAAAAAATAGGGGTACTGAGGATTGAATCCAGACCTCGCGCATGCTAAGCACATGACCCACCACTGAGCTGTGTCCTCCCCAGGCTCAGTGTTTTAGGTGTTGTCTCCACCCTAGGAGTCCCTGGGAGGTGCAGGGGGGTGGCGTGCTGGTTCACACAGAAGCATCTGATGCAGTGTGTCTGAGGATTCTGGATTCTGAGCAAGAGCGCAAAACTGGCGTCTTTTGCAGGAAATCCTAACAGCGCTCTGCCCGGGGCTACGTCTAGGTAAATAGCTGGCGTCCTCATGATTTTGCTTCCTGTTAATAGACCAGACGGTAACGTCCACACAGATCAGAGGAAAAGGCCCGTTTGAAAGGAAGACACCCAGTGACCCAGCTGTCGGGAGACAGGTGCTGGTAGTGTCCTTCCCCGCCCGCAGCTGGCCGGGGCACCCCGACCCCACGCCTCTGACCTGTCTGTTTCCCCTTCTCTCCGCCGCAGTCAGCACCCCAGCCTGTGGTCCGTGAGCAGCGGCACCGTCCCCCCCGGCGCCCAGACAGCAGGGATGTCCAGCGGGCTGGGAGCCCAGTTCTTCCGAGGCCCTGCTGCCCGCTCTGCGCCCCTCGCGCACCCAGTCCCCGCTTCCTCCTCCGCGGGGTCCCCGCTGTATGAAGGGGCCGCCACGGCCGCAGACATTGCCGACAGCCAGTATGACGCCTCGGCCCACGCCCGCCTCCTAGCCTCGTGGACCCCAGTGTCGCCTCCGTCCATGTGAACGAGGGCCCTGGGTCTTAAAAGACACAATGACTTCTTTGTTGTGGCAGCAAGTGTTGATTTGATGGGCCATCTCTGGGGCAAGGGGAGGAAATTAGCCTCACTGTGAGGACGAGGAGGAACTCAAGTCTTGCTATTTATCAAGCGTCCCCCCACCACCATCGTTGCCCATCCTTGGTGGTGGCAGTGCGGTCCCGAGTCCTTTATGTGCTGCAGGTGAATTCAAGTATGGAGGCCATGCAGTTGGCCTATTTTACCATGATTCACAGTAAAAATTACTTGCTCACATCCAGAAATTTTGTTTCTATGCGGCACATAGATCATCTTGGGACATCAGAGTTTGTAAACTCCGCTGGTCCTACTCTAGTGACACCAAAAAGCACACTTTTAATTCTTTTTCTTGTTACTTTCGAGTAGCTTTCCGGTCCCTTTTGTGGCAGTGTCACAGTTGCAGCTGAGCTGTGAAAGACAGAATGAAATCAGTTGAGGTCGGCAGATTGCAGCTGAAGTGGAAATGTGCAGCCTCTGCCAACTAGGATGCGTTTGTTTCAAGCATAGGTAGCTAATCTCTTGTATTGTTAAACCTCCCACTGTTTATATTTTTCTTTTGACAAAGTAGCCAAAGACAATCAGCAGAAAGCGTTTTCTGCAAAATAAAGGCAATGTGCAAGATGTGGTTGGTCTAATTATTGCTCACACCCCTGCTTTTTGGGAATGAGATCGTGTGGTTTGTGACAGCTGGTGATAAAGATCATTTTGGAGAAGCTTTTCAGTGGGTGATGGACTTCAACATTTTATCTAATCAGTTGTGGAACTGGAAGTGAAATTTGCATATATTTACTCAGTGCTAATTGCCACAAAACAGGCAAAAGATGTCAAATGATTTCCAAGAAAGTCAAAGAGTCAATGCTGAATCATGAATGTGGATAATGACAGAATGTAGAAATGCTGATGTTGTAGAGTTACTGTGGGATGCCTACCTGATTCAAGCACAAACACGTAAAGTGAACTGACAAGAAGCCATAGTTTCTAAATGTAAGGTGCAGGCGCCGCAGTCGTTTGAACAATGTGGTGTTTGTAAATGACTTTCCTGCTGGTGAGGCTGCCGAGCAGTGACCAGGACCGTGCCTGTGCTGCGCTGGGGTGATTCCTCCATCTAGTGGCAAAAGCCTTACTTTAATCTTGTTCAAGCTCGAAGTTCTGGACTCTTACTTTTTAAAAGAGTGTAAGCCTAGAATTTAACTGTAAATAGCTGAAGTTTCAGTGTATTTGTGCCTGCTTTCCAGGTGAGACGTGCTTCTTGTGAACTATTGGCCACCTGAAAGTTTTTCTTGGCTTTATTCCTACTAGGTTTTACCGTAGCTCACGTAGAAATACCCCAGATCAGAAGATTTGTTGACTTAAACATATTGGAAGAATATTTTAAAATAAACCATGCCCAAGAGGATGGGGAAGTAAACTGGCCTCGGCAGTCTGGCTCCAGGCACGGGGTCTGCAGGAGAAGGGTCGGGGCCTGGGGGCAGGAGGTGTGGGGATGGTGTGCGCAGAGACCCCACAGCGCGGGCATTTCCCAGGAAACGTGGCTGTCTCCTCCATCATCCTGACTGCTCCCGAAGGCTGGGACCAAGGTCTTGTGCTCCTAGAACCTACCTAGCCCAGTGCCTGCCCCTTTCCAAGCCTTCCAGAGTGCTCCTGAGCAGGGACTCACTGTGGGGTGGAGAGGGGCCTGGGCCACTGAGATGCGTGCGGATGCCGCGGGTTACTGAGGGGCTGTTCCTGACAGCACTGCAGGGAACGTGGTCCTGCCCCAGGCTGGGGGCTGTGGGGACACTGAGTCATGGGTCCTAAATCCAGGGGCCTTCAGCTCTGGTTGAGGAGAGCGATCACCCGTGCAGAGGAGGGACAGGGCCTTGACGTGGGTTTCTAAAGGTGACCCAGAGTTCAAATTCAAGAAATGACTATTTTAATGTACCAAACAATGTCCTTGCAGTTACACAGGGGGCTGTGGCTGTCGCATGGCCCAAGGAGCCTGCAATTTGGTACCAAAGACCTGCATTGAGTGTTCCTTTGCCTCCCTTGCCAGTGGGGACCCCAGGAAAGTTAAGTTACCAGTCCAGAAGCTGAAGCCTCTTATCTGTAAAGATGGAGAAGGAAGATGCTGGGTGGTGTTAAACATAAATCTGTTTTATCCAGAACATGAGCTTTTCTGTGCTGCGGTTTGTCCCATCGGCCAATTGACAAATGGTATGAAATCTATGGACAAGAAGGAAGCTCACTTAAAAGACACCAGGAATTTTAATCAACAGTGCACGGGGAGAACAAAGGCTTCCATCACACAGGAGGAAGAAAAGAGGCCACCAGGGAAGGAGAAGCAGCGGCCATCGGCACGCAAGCGTCCGGAGAGGGGCTTCACATGGCTGGGAGGGGTCTCCACCTGAATCCCGCAACAGAGACAGCAGAAGACGGCCACACAGTAGACAGGGGACATCCCCCCACACCCCATCCTTCCCTTCATCTTGACCTGTAATTACTGGGCACCGCTGATAACTGAGGAGCCGCGTTAGTAACCATTGTTTGTCTTAAAATACAATTTGGCTCTAAAAACAGAAAAGAGGAAGTGTTGTGATTACAAAAGGGATTTATTAATGTGAGTAGCGGAAGTCCTTAGAAGACAGCACAAGTACAGCTAGACACGTCCACGCGAGGCGGCGCGCGCCCCTCCGGCGGCTGCTCGCGGGGCTGCAAGACGCCGGAGCCCGTGCGAGGCCCGCAGGCAGCGCCTCTGGCGGGAGCCGGAATGGGCCCCTTTCTCCAGGTCCTCACGCTCACGTATCCTCTTTCCCAAAACTGGTCTGCCTGAGAGGCGTCTGGAGGTGGGGTGCCCCCTCCCCAACCCTTTCACGATTGCCCTTTTCCCACTTAAAAGGAGAGTTTACTGCTGCCTTACCGGGCTCTCCATTGACTCAGGTGTAAAACCTCCGGACATCAAACGAAGGCAATTGTTCAACCCCAAGGCGCCATAAAGGTCTCCGGCTCGCCCCGGCCCTCCTCCGCATGGAGGCCGACGCCCCTTCCCGGCACCCAGACGCACATCGCTCAGTCCCAGCCACCCGCGAGGAAGGCTGGCCCATCTGACCCAGCCCTAAATTCCTGGGAGGTGGGAACAGCTGTCATTTCGGGTGTTTATGACGTGCCAGTCACTGTTCTAAGGGCATTGCATCTCACTTCAACCTCCTAAGAAACTTCTCCTCTTTTTATGGAAAAGCAAGAGGCGGTCCAGAGGAGAAGGCTATCTCGTCCAAGGTCAGTGAGCGAGGAATAAGACACGCGCCCTGGAAACCTGAGTGCCGAGCACCCCTCTCTACCAGGGTGCTTGGCCTAGCAAAGTAAGTCCAGTGTGCGTTCCCGGTCTAACCAGGTGGGAGCACACAGGGACCGCGGAGATGCAGGAACTCGCCTGACCTGCTTGCTCCATCTCATGAGCTGTTAGATTCCCAAAAGGCATCTGGTACAGTAGACAACTGTGCACATTGGAAACACGGCTTAACCCCGCCTTCCAGGAACCTGAGGCTGGATGCTGGGGTGGGAGGAGGGGGCTTGAAGAAGAGGCGGGAAGTGGGATGTGAACGGGATGAGGCGGTTCAATGACCAAAATGCTGAGCTATGAACAGGAGATGCACGCAGGCCCTGAGGAGTGGCCACTGCAGGTTGGTCGGTCACCCCAGGCTTCTGTCTGCTGCCGTGGCCTCCCCTGCCCCTCCTCCCCTCACAAACATGTGTTGAATACATGCTCTGTGCCAGGCTTTGGGATGATGTTGGGGTGCTGAGGGAACCTGACGATGAAGCCCTACCACCCCATTTAAGACAAGAAAAAGGGTTTTAAAGGAGTACACATTAAAAAAATATATACCCACAAAACCACCACCACAATCAAGACAGCTAACGTCCCATCCCTCCCCAGGAGGGGCAATTTTCGAATTCAAAATTTATCTCTTCCCATCCCCTTTACCCACTGGTAACCATAAGTTTGTTCTCTGGTCTGTGAGTCTGTTTCTGTTTTGTAAATTAGTTCATTTGTGTCCTTTCTTTTTTAAGATTTCACATATAAGTGACATCCTATGGTATTCTTCTTTCTCTGTCTAACTTACTTCATTTAGAATGACGATCTATATGTCCATCCATGTTGCTGCAAATGGCATTATTTTATTCTTTTTTATGGCTGAGTAGTATTCCACTGTGTATGTATACCACATCTTCTTTATCCAGTCATCTGTCGATGATCATTTAGGTTGTTTCCATGCCTTGGCTATTGTAAATAGTGCTGCTGTGAACGTTGGGGTGCATGTGTCTTTTTTATATTTTTTTCTGAGTATATGCTCAGAAGTGGGATTGCTGGATCTTAGGGTAAGTCTATTTTTATTTTTTTAAGAAACCTCTATACTGTCCTACAAAGTGGCTGCACCAAACTGCATTTCCACCATCAGTGTAGGAGGGTTCCTTTTTCCCCACACCCTCTCTGGCATTTGTCATCTGTGGACTTTTGAATGATGGCCATTCTGACTGGTGTGAGGTGATACCTCAGTGTAGCTGTGATTTGCATTTCTCTGACAATCAGTGATTTCGAGCATCTTTTCCTGTGCTTGTTGGCCATCTGGATGTCTTCTTTGGAGAGATGTCTATTTACATAAAAGAAGACACATTTGAATGAAGTATTTAGGAGAAAATAAGCAGTGTCTTTGGAAGGGCTTCCAAGTGGGGCCCTTTTTATAATTTTTAATTTTTTAAAATTGAAGTCTAGTTGGTGTGCAATGTTCTGTTAGTTTCTGATGAGAAGTGTGGTGGGCGCGGCATACACAGCTGTACATTTTCCTTTTTGGATTCTACATTACAAGATGTTGAATATAATTCCCTGTGCTGTACAGTAGGGCCTTGTTGTTCATTTTCTGTATAGTAGTGTGTAGCTGCTAATCCCATACTCCTAATTTATCCCCCACCACCCTGCCCCCGGTAACCATAAGTTTGTTTTCTATGTCTGTGAGAATCTTTGTTTTGTAAATAAGTTTGTTTGTCAGAATTTTTTACATTCCACATGTAAGTAATGTCATGTGATATTTGTCCTTCTCTGCAGGTGGGGCCCTTTAAATAAGTCTGTCCAGAGAGGAGGTAGCCCTGAAGCCAGGCAAGCTGAGCTCCCAGTGACAGAACAGCAGCTGTGAGGCTGTGAGGCCCTGGGAGCAGAAGCCGGGTTGTGTCTGAGGAACTGGGAGGGAGGCGTGGACAGACAGGGCAGTGACGGGGGGAGGGAAGAGGGGCACGAGGGGCCCACAGCCCTGGTAGCCCCGATAGCCCCGAACACTTGTACGTCTTTAAAATTGTTGTGAAATAGACACAAAAAGATTTACCACCTCAACCGGTTTTAAGGGCAGTGTTAAGTACAATTACACTGTTGTGCGGTCGTCACCTCTGTCCGTCCCCATAACGTTTCCATCATTCCAAACGGAAACTCTGTCCCCACGAAACACTAAATCCCTGTCTTCTCCCCCAGCCCCTGGCCCCCAGCTTTCAGCTTTCTATCTCTACAGCTTTGACTCCCCCAGGGGCCTCGTGTAAGCAGGATCTGACAGTATTCGTTTTTTCACGATTTCTAGAATGTTAGTGGTTC